GGACATCCAGGGGGTTATTTTTTGGGATGGCAGAGAACTCCAGGAGATTCTGCTCTGGGATTTGGGAGCATCGCTGGTGCTCCTGTGGGGTCCAGCCAAGTCCTGGCACCCCCAAGCTGCGCCCTCGGAGCTTCCAAAAATGCGGTTTCCCCTTTCCCACCCTCAAAATGGGTCCCTGAACCCCTAAAAAAAAAGTTTTCCCCTTTTCCCAAAATCCCGGAGCTGCCACACCCCTGTGCCCGGTGCTTTCCGTGCCACCCCCAAACCGCACCCCCTGAACCCCTAAAAAAGCATTTCCCCCCTTTTCCATCCCAAAACAGCATTCCCTGACCCCCTAAAAAAGCTTTTTCCCTCTCTACCACCCCCGAACCTCTAAAAAAGCAATTCCCCCCTTTCCCATCCCAAAACTGACCCCCTAAAAAAGCTTTTCCCCCCTCTCCCCCCTCCCGAGCCCCTAAAAAATCCTTTCCCCCCCTTTCCCATCCCAAAACCGCACCCCCTGAACCTCTAAAAAAGCTTTTTCTGCCTTTCCCATCCCAAAACTGAGCCCCTGAAAAAGCTTTTCCCCCCTCTCCCACCTCCCGAACTCCTAAAAAATCCTTTCCGATCCCAAAACCGCACCCCCTGAACCTCTAAAAAAGCTTTTTACCCCCTTTTCCATCCCGAAACTGCATTCCCGAACCTCTAAAAAAGCTTTTTCTGCCTCTCCCATCCCAAAACCGCACCCCCTGAACCCCTAAAAAAGCTTTTTCCCCCCTCTCCCACCTCCCGAACCCCTAAAAATTCATTTCCCCGCCGCCCCACCCCCATCCCCGGCGCTCTTCCCAATCCCTCATCCCTCTCACTTCCACCTCCCTCCCAAAACCCCAGAAATCCAGGGAGTTCTCCAAGCCCGGGAAGATCCCGGATCACCTTCCAGGTCCAGTTTGACCACGCCGGTGTCATCCTCCAGCTCGTTGGTCACCTCGCACTCGTAGCGCCCGTAGTCCTGCAGGGTGACATTGCGGATGATGAGGCTCGCGTCGCCCGCCCCGTCCTCCTGCAGGGCCGTGCGCCCCCGGTAGGGACCTGGAAAAAAACATCTTCGCATCATTTTTATGGAATTTGGAAGGTTAATTAAAAAGATAATTAGGAGAAATAAAAATAAAGTGTACAGATACAGCCAGGTGCGTGTGCATCCGCCTCACTGACAAAGGGTTGTCCCCTGAAAACAGAATCCTACATATCCATATATTCATAAATTCTCATTCATATTCAGACATTCTTCTGAGGATCTTCGGGGTTCTTCTGTTTAGTTTTTCTCTTGCCCCCTTCCCAATAGATCAATTGTGAAAAATTGTGAAAAACGAGGTTCACATAATTTTTATAGAATAGAATACTATATATATTCTATATATATATATAATAATTTTATAGAATTTAAAAGGTTAATTAAAAATATAATTAGGAGAAAAAAATAAAGTAAAATATAGAGATACAGCTGGGTGTCTCTGCATTCACCTCACTGACAAAGGATTGTCCCTTAAAAACAGAATCCTGCTACATATCCATAAATTCTCATTCATATCCATGAATTCTCATCCATATTCAGACATTCTTCTGAGGAACTTTGGGGTTCTTCTGTTTAGTTTTTCTCTTGCCCCCTTTCCCAACAGATCAATCTTCTTAGACCTATCGAGATTTACATTCTCTGATACCAGAAATGCAATAAATTCCTGCCCCAGAGCTCTGGTCACTGCTGTCTTCATCTGGGTAAGAGAATTTACAAATGCAGGAATTCTCTGGCTATTTTTTTTGTTTGTTTGTTTGTTTCTCAGTCTTTGGTTTATACAAACAAAACCAGTTTTTATTTTAACACTATTCCATAGCCAAACATATATATATATATTATACTACTATTTCTAAATTTCATCAATAAAGAAAACTCTATCAACACAACAAAAATTTCTCATTCTTATACACATAACATTCATTTTAATATTTGGAAAAAGCCGACAATATAAAATGTATCTTTAACACACCGAACGCCCTCCGGGCCTTGCCCAGGGCCACGAACACGTCCACGAAGGCCATGGGTTCGGTGACTTTGGTCCACTTGAGGCGGATCTGGGCCGGGTCGTGAGCGGTCACGTCGTAGTGGTAGCGGCAGGGGAGGATGATGGTGCCGCCGCGGTGGGTCACCACCTTGCCCGGGGCGGTTTGGACCACCACGGTACCGCTGTCACCCTCTGTGGGGTGGGAACCGGGTCAGGCATCGAGAGGGACCGGCGGGACCGGCACCGAGCGGGACCGGAACCGCGTCAGGTACCGAGTGGGACCGGAACCCGGTCAGGCACCGAGAAGGACCGGCGGGACCCTCTGCTGTACCAGCACCGCGTCAGGTACCGAGCGGGACCCTCTGCGGGACCGGAACCGAGCGGGACCAGAACCGGCATTGGCACCGAGCGGGACCGGCGGGACCCTCTGCGGCATCGGCACCGCGTCTGGCACCGAGCGGGACCGGAACCGGGTCAGGCACCGAGCGGGACCGGCGGGACCGGCCACCGGCCCGGGCCGCACGGAGGAGGGGGCGGGGGAAGCGGGGTGGGGATGTGGGGATGCGCTTTGGGGGAAATTCCCCGGTTTTGGGGGCAAGGAAAGGATGGGGATGTGAGGATGCTCCCTGGGGGGATTCCCAACTTTTGGGGTTAAGGCAGGGTGGGGATGCGGGAGCATCTTTTGGGTTGTGCTCCCCTTTTTGGGGGGTAAAGGAGGATGGGGATGTGGGAACGCACTTTGGGGGGAATTCTCCTCTTTTAGGGACAAGGCAGGATGGGGGCGCGGGGACACAGTTTGGGGGGAATTCTCCTCTTTCTGGGCAAGGCAGGCTGGCGATACTGGCGGAATTTAAGGTGCAAGGCAGGATGGGAGCTCGGGGACACAATTTGGGTGCAATCCCCCCCTTTATTTGCAAACCCCAAGGAGCGCTCGGGACAATGCCAGGGCGGGCAGGGGGAGCACAGCAGAGCTTTGAGGGGCTCTAAACCCGACACCCCAAAACCCAAAGCGGATCCCGCAGTCCCAAACCCGTGCCGGGGGTCCCGACCCCACTCACCCATGACATGAACCACCTTCTTCCTGGTGGGCAGCGCCTCGGGGGCGAGCAGGGCTCCGAGGAGCAGCAGCGCGGCGGGGCCGGCGGCCCAGGGGATTTGGGGACGCATCTGGGGGGTCACAGAGCGCCCTCAGCACCCCCGAACCCTCCGCGGGACCCCCGCTCTGCCCCCCCAGGAGTGCCCAGCCCGAGGGGTGCCGGCCCCCGCTGTCGCCCCCGCCGTGCCCAGGGCTGTGGGGGGGGTCGCTGCTCCCCCTCCCCATCCCGCGCCCCCAGCCCCGCAGGGACCCCCGGCTCTGAGCTCGGCGTGTCCCGCTCGTTTCCAGGCGGGATGAAGATTCCATGGCGGCCGCGGCTCCCGAGTTATTTATGGCACCCCTGGAAGCTGAGCTGATGGGCACGGAGCGGGCAGCGACCCCTCCCCGAGACCCCCCCGGGCCGCGCCCCCTCCCCAAGGACGGAGCGGAGTGGGCGCGGGGAGGAGCCCCCCCTTCCTCGGGGGGCTGCGGTGCTGAGCCCCGCGCTCTTGGGGTGCCCCAAATGCCAGCCCGGCTCTGGCTGCCCCCTCCCCGGGGCAGGGGGAGAGGCTCAAACCCTCCCGGGGGTCGCGGTGGCGGATCCGGGGGCAGGGGGAGAGGGTCAAACCCTCCCGGGGGTCGCGGTGATGGATCCGGGGGCAGGGGGCAGTGGGAGCCCCCCGGGGGTCGCGGTGATGGATCCGGGGGCAGGGGGAGAGGGTCAAACCCTCCCGGGGGTCGCGGTGGCGGATCCGGGGGCAGGGGGAGAGGGTCAAACCCTCCCGGGGGTCGCGGTGATGGATCCGGGGGCAGGGGGAGAGGGTCAAACCCTCCCGGGGGTCGCGGTGATGGATCCGGGGGCAGGGGGCTGCGGGAGCCCCCCGGGGGTCGAGGTGCCAAGGCCCGGTAAGAGCGAGCAGGGCAGCCCCGGTGCCCGGTCCGGGGGCAGATGGAGCCGCCCCCTCCCCACCCTGGGGGTCGCGGTGCCCGGTGGGGGCAGGGGGAGCGGGAAGCCCCCCCGGACATGCCGGTGCGCGCTGCGGGGACGGGAGGAGCGGGGCAGCCCCTCGGGGGTCCCGGGAACGCTCGGGGCAGCGGCTGCGGCGGTGGCGGCGCTCGGCGGGCCCGGTGCGGTGTTGCAGTGCGGGACACTGCGGCGGCAGCCCCGGGGCTGCGGGACTCCGGTGCCCGGGCGGGGACAGCGCAGCGCGGGGGGAGCCCCGATCTTGCCCCCATAACCAGCGACCCCCGCCCGTCGCGTCCCTCCAGGTGCCGGGGGTCCCGTCCCGGTGCCCCGCAGCGGAGGGAGCGGCGGCCGCAGCCCCGCACTCACCGTGTGTCCGGTGCCGGCCCGCGGGAGCGCGCGGGTGCCGCCGGTACCTCCTCCGGTACCTCCTCCGGTACCTCCTCCGGTACCTCCTCCGGTACCGCCGGTGCGGCTCCGCGCAGGGGGCGACACCGGGAGCTCGGCCCGGCCCTGCCCCGGCTCCCTGCGCTGCGCAGGGCCGGCTGCTCGCCAAGGTCACCGGCCCGCCCGCTGTCCCCCGGTGTCGCCCGGCGTCCCCCGGAGCCCCCCGGGACCCCCGGGCAGGGAACGCGCGGGGTACGAGGGGTCGGGTCCGGTAAATCCCCGCAAGGGCGGCTGTGCCCACCCCAAAAACCCCGGTACCAACCCCCCCACGCGTGCCCACCCCCCAAATTCTCCCGCACCCCGAGCCCACCCGCAGCCGCTCCTGCACCCCCAGCCCCCCGCGGACACCCCGGTACCCACGGGGACCCCCGGCCCCCCAAAGTGCCCGGGGGTGCTGCGGGGACAATCCCGGTGTCACGGGGGGACCTCTCTGGGCACAGCGGGGACGCGGGCTCGGGGCGAACCTGGGCTCCTTTATTTTGTGACCCTGGCGCTGTCCCCACCCCCGAGCCGGGACCGGGACCCCCGGGGCCCAGCGGGACCCCCGGGAGGGACCGCGGCTCCTGAGTCCCCCCAGCAGCGCCACCAGGGCAGGGCCGGGGCTGCAGCGATGTCCCCGCGGAGCATCCCGGGGTCCCCACAGCTTTTGGGGGAGCGGAGCATCCCTGGGAGCACCCTGGGGACACGTCCGGGGACACCTCTGGACACCTCTGGGGACACCCAGGGGACACCTCTGGGGACACGTTCGGGGACACCCCTGGGGACACCTCTGGGGGCGCGCCTGGACACCCCTGGGGACATCTCTGGGGACATCTCCGGGGACACTTCTCGTGACAGAGCTCGGAGCGGGGCCAGAGACTCCGGGCGGGATCGCCGGGGTGGGGACAACGGGACCGGGATGGGGACAGCAGGACCCGGGTGGTGACAGCAGGACCCGGATGGTGACAGCAGGACCCGGGTGGTGACAGCAGCCCCGGGGTGGTGACAGCAGCCCAGAGGGGACAGCAGGACATGTCACAGGTATTTCTTGTGGCGGGCCGGGCCGGGGGCAGCGGGGAGGAGGAGGAAGAAGGCCGGGGAGCGCAGGCAGCGCAGCGCCAGGAGCTGCGGGCCCAGCGCGTACAGGACGTTGGAGAGCAGGAAAATCCACAGGACCTCGTCGGGGGTCTGGTACGGGAACGGCGTGCGGGAGTGCAGCGAGGAGCCCACGTGTGCGAACTGAGCCTGCGGACACCGGCACGGCCCGCGGGCGTGAGCGGCCCCAAAACCCCGCACCTAAAACCCCGACCCCAAAGGGGGAAAAATCCCGGACCTAAAACCCCGACCCCAAAGGGGGAAAAACCTCGGACCTAAAACCCCGACCCCAAAGGGGGAAAAACCTCGGACCTAAAACCCCGGACCTAAAACCCCGACCCCAAAGGGGGAAAAACCTCGGACCTAAAACCCCGACCCCAAAGGGGGAAAAACCTCGGACCTAAAACCCCGGACCTAAAACCCCGACCCCAAAGGGGGAAAAATCCCGGACCTAAAACCCCGACCCCCAAAGGGCGCAGTGCCTTGGCCCTAAAAGGTGTAAATCTCCCGCCCCAAAGGGTGCAAAACCCTGCCCCTAAAAGGTGCCAAACCCTGGCCCCAAAGGGAGCAAAACTCCGGACCTAAAACCCCGACCCCAAAGGGCACAAAATCCCCGCCCCAAAGGGCACAAAACCCCGGCCCCAAAGGGAGCAAACCCTCGCCCCTAAAAGGCGCAAATCCCCCGGCCCAAAGGGCTCAAACCCCGGCCCTAAAAGGTGCAAACCCCGGCCCCAAAGGGCACAAACCCCTGACCCCAAGGGGTGCAAACCCTCCACCCCAAAGGGTGCAAAGTCCCAGCCCTAAAAGGAGCAGAACTCCGGCCCCAAAGAGCGCAGTCCCTTGGCCCTAAAAGGTGCCAACCCCGGCCCCAAAGGGGTTTTTGGCTCCAGCCCATCCTATCTATAGCCCCGCGTCTCCCTCCTTCCTATTCGTGTCCCACTAATGCCGGGTTCTGTCCAAATCCACCGAGGCTGAAGCAATTATCTGCCAGCCGAGCTGCTCCACTTGGCCACGGCTCTGCCCCCCAAATCCGGATATGTCCCCCAAATCCGGATATGTCCTCCAAATCCCGGGATCTGCCCCCTGAATCTGGGATCTGTTCCCCAAAACCGAGATCTGCCCCCCAAAACCGGGATCTGCCCCGCAAATCCTGTGATTTTAGAGCCACCCATTTGGGATTTTTTCCCCCAAATCCCGGGATTTCGGGGCCGTCGGGCTGGGAATTCCCCCCAAATCCCGGGATTTTAGAGCCATCGGTTTGGGATTTTCCCCCCAGATCCCGGGATTTCGGGTTTTCCTGCTGGGAATTCCCCCCCAGATCCCGGGATTTCGGGGCCGGCCCCACCTGCGCCACAGCTCCGGCCACCACGAGGCTCCAGTCGGGCAGCCAGGAGCAGGCGGGCAGCGCCAGCCCGTAGATGGCGAGGATGAGGAAGGGCAGCAGGTAGAACAGGTAGATCAGCATCTGAGGAGGGGGACAGCCGGTCTGAGACCCCCCGCTGGCTCCCGGGGGACCCCCGGGGGGGCTGCGACCCCTCCCCGCACCTGCACTTTGGGGTAGCCCACGGGGTCGCGCAGGTAGGGCTCGTGCAGGTAGGTGTAGTCGAAACAGGAATCGGCCGGGCAGTCCAGGACCACCTGCGGGGGTGGGAGAGGGCAGGAGACCCTCCCTGGGACCCCCAAATCCCTCCTCGGGACCCCCTAAACCCTCTCCGGGACTCCTGAGACCCTCCAGGACTCCCAAATCCCTCTCCGGGATCCCCGAGATCCTCCCCGGGACCCCCAAATCCCTCCTCGGGACCCCCTAAACCCTCTCTGGGACCCCCAAGTCCCTCCCCAGGACCCTCGAAACCCTCCCCGGGACCCTCAAATCCCTCCTCGGGACCCCCAAAACCCTCTCTGAAACTCCCGAGATCCTCCCCGGGACCCCCAAAACTCTCTCCGAGATCCCCGAGATCCTCCCCGCTACCCTCAAAACCCTTCCCGGGACCCCAAAATCCTTCCTCGAGACCCCCGAAACCCTTCACGGGACCCTCGAGACCCCTCAGCCCGCCCCAAAGCCCCTCCAAGAGTCCCTCGAGCCCCTCCAGCACCACCCCGAGACCCCCAAGAGCCCCTCCAGGACCCCCCGAGTCCCCCCAGCGCTCACCATCCCCCTGAAGAAGGTGAAGGCAGCGGTGAGGATGAGGATGAGGATGAGGAGCAGGTCCTGGGGTCGCTGGTAGAGGGGTTTGCGCTGCTCCTCCGCGATCTGGGACGGGGAATTGGGGATTTTTGGGGGTCCGCACCCCCTGGTCCAGCCCTGGCCGCCCCAAACCCCCCCAGGCCGGCCTCACCTGCTCGGGGCTGAGGTTCGGCAGCGGCCGCGGCTGCCGGAACAGCCGGAGCCCGGCCCAGGTGAGGAGGAGGAGGTAGGGCAGGCTGAAGAGGAAGGACAGGCTCAGCTCGGGGCTGTATTTCCCTGCGGGAGAGAGCGCGGGGTGGGCACGGAGCCTTCATCCTTCTTCTCCTCTTCCTCCTCCTCCTCCTTTTCCTCCTCCTCCTCCTCCTCCTTTTCCTCCTCTCCTGTCTCCTTCTCCTCTTCCTCCTTTTCTTCCTCTTCCTCCTCTTCCTCCTTTACTTTCACCTCCTCCTTCTCCTCTTCCTTCTCCTCTTCCTCCTTTTCTTCCTCCTCCTCATCTTCCTCCTTTACTTTCACCTCCTCCTTCTCCTCTTCCTCCTTTTCTTCCTCCTCCTCCTCCTCCTCCTCCTCCTCCTCCCCCCCCCCCCCCGCCTC